TTGAAATGACAAATAAAACAAATATAAAGGGAAATTTTTTTAAAATAACTCTTTCAATGTATTTATATCATTAATCAAAGTTTTATTTAGGAATATAAATTAATGGATAACTCATATTAAATATATTAAAAGTATATATGTATAAAATGTATTTAAAAGAAAACCTCGAATCATCAAAATAAACCTGAAGCATATATATATAATATATTGTGTATTTATATTAATATAAAATAAATATATTTCATAGATTAATATGCAATAGTATGCGTGGAAAATATATAATTTTTGCCTTTAGAGGGATATGGATTTTATTTCATTAAATAATATCTTGTGTTATATTTAGATTTTTGAAGCTTTTTATATCAATTTAACGTATAAATTAAATTTATACTATATATTTGAAATATATATATAAATTGAATTTACTACATTAAGGATGTATTATAATAAAATATATACTTTGTTATTTTACTTATCCATAAATTTCCACTATTATATGTTTTGTTATATAATGATTGCAGGAATAATTATAAATAATTATAACCTCCACTACATTAACAATATTTATTTTAATAATTACGTAAACATTCGCAAGTATATATTCTAAAAAATTGGGAATTAATTTAGCATTTCATTTTACATTATATCATAGTAAATAGAATAACATATGTGATGATGTTAAATAATGAAAATGAATTCTCAACAATACGAAACAAATTTTATAAGTCTTGCAATTTTTTGTGCAATAATTAATATAAAATTCTTATTATTTTTTTTTTTATTTATGAATATATTCCACATATATTCCCATCATATATATTTATTTTTTTCCATTTGTTAAGGTATATATATATGGACATTTTGGTTTTACGCAGTTTCATAGAGTTATTTATGATAATAAAATAGAAACGTTTATAATATTTGTAAAAATGTATTATATGTTGTATTTTACTTATTCATTTAGATGATAATTAATTCTATAAATTCATTAGTTATAAATAAACGTTTCAATTTATATATAATAATAAATTAATTCTATTCATTTTTAAGACTATTATATATGTGTGTGCAATAGTAATTATTGATATGAAAAAAAAACATATTTAATATCGTGCTATAATTTCTAAAGCACTACATATATAAATCATAGAATTCGTGTAAAAACATGCTTACCAATTCCTTTATATGAAATGTGATAATATTTATATTGTAAAAGAGATAAATATTAACCATCTGTAAATTTTAATTAGTATAAATTTCAAATAATTACTAAATATTTTCCTACAACATTAATTCATATTTTGACATTTTACCTTACTAAAATACAATAGTTCATAAAGTGCGCTATTAAGAACAATATTTTGATACTATATTATGCCTCTTATACTAAATTATTATAATATACTATATAAAATATATATAATATAAAATAAAAATTATGATCTTTGAATTATAGTAGTCAAATAATAATATTATAAAACAAGCATGAAGAAACAAAAGATTAATATTATATATTTTATGTACTGAAAGATCTATTGAATTATTCATAGATATATTATATCTTAAAAACGAAATATCATATTCTAAATTATATATAATTTTTTTTTTTCTAAAAAATTTATTTAGAAAAATAATTGTAAATTAAATTAAATAAATATACAAAAAAAAATGTCAAAATAAAGTAAATAAAAGAAACATTAATTGAAATAAGAACATTAAAAAAATAAATAAATCCATTATATCAACAATTAATGTCTTATGTTTACATGTTATATAATAAATGATATGTTTTTTTTACACAATTAAGCAAAGGACTTTAAGATTTAAAAAAATATATAAGAATTTTACGTATATACTAAAATATTAATTAATGTAAAACATTTATGTGTATATCTCATATCTATTTATTTTTTTTAAAAAATATAAAAATATAACTATGTAAATATGCTTAACGGTGTGTATGTGTGCTCAGAATAGATATATACATTGATATATACAATTACAATTGTAAATTAAATTAGATAATATAGCTATATTAAACACTAAATCGTAATGTATCATTGATATGTATTTAATAGAATATTTTAATATAGTTATGTTAATCACGATTATTCAATATATTAGATGAGTAAAAATTTATTACATGAATTAAGAGAAAACGTATATAATCAACCAAGTTATATAATATTCCTAATGCTTAATAATCACACTAATCCTTTATTTTTACCTTTTTACATTGTTTTTTATGTATATTTTTTTATTTATTATTTATATAAAAAAAAAAAAATAAAACGAATAAATAAATATACGAAAAATAAGTTATTGTTTATATCTTTATATATTCCATTTATTTTCTTAGAGAATTTGGCTATATTATTTGTAGTGCTTTTAACAATATAATAATTTTATAATTATACTTTTATTTATTTATTATTTTTTATGCATTTTACGCTATATATATGTTCTTAATATTTTATATAAAAAGAAATTCTACTCATAAACTTGATACAATGTACTAGCGTATTTTAACATGATACAAATAATTTAATATGAATGTGGCAAAATTATGCAATAATAAAAGAGTTATAATAATTGGTACATATTTCAGAGATATAATATATGCTCTGATAACTATAACACACAAAATTTTTTAATTGGAAAATATATATTATTTTTCTATAAGTTCATATATATATATATATACATCATAATAATGGTTAATAAGCTATTCAATTATGATATATGTTTCACTTTATTAATAAAATTACAAATTATTTTATTATATTTTAATATACACTTATTTATAAAGAATTAACTTAAACAGATCTCTTAAAAATAGAGTTAAATAAATTATATATATAGTATTACCTTCATTTAAAATTATTTCAAAAAATTATACTGTTTATATATATTATATTAATAGAAGGAAGAAAATATTATTTTGATATTAAGCAAATGATTATTTCTTTGTTACTCTTACGTAAGGATTATAATAAGGAATAAAAAATGAAAGTAGCATAGAATCTCAAATATCATACAGGTATTCTCAATAATATGTTACCCAAAATTACATTGTGTAAACGTAAATATATTTCATAATTTAGAAAAATACATTATATTAAAATATAATAATTATAATATAAAAAACAAAATATATATTCTTATATATTTCATTTATCGTTTTGCTGTATTTTTATATTTTTTAATCTAATTAGGAACATATATATTTTTCGCATATTTTTAATTCACCTATTTTGATCATTTTTTTCCAAATCAATACATAGTTTTAAATATTTTATAATATTTATTTTATATTCATTTTCTTATTTATGTGTTCGATTTTGAAAAAATTTTATTTATATATTATGAGTCAATAATTTAATAAAATATTTTATTAATCTCAATATATTATGAACTCATGATTATATCAACTATACAACAGTAATAAAGGATATAATAACGGCAAATTTACACCTCATTTATTCTTATTATAATGAACAAAAATTTTATGATGTACAATAATATAGGCAACATAGCATACAACTATTCCTATTACAAACAATAAAGTCATTATATCCTGAAGTAGTATATTATATAAAAAAAAAATTTATTTAATTCTCATAATCTTATAATGAAAATCAAATTCAAATTAACACAAGCGATACTTTCCTATTATTTTAAAGATTTCATAATATAGTACAATATTATTTCAAAAAAACACTTTTAATAAAAGTAATATTTAAATTAAATTGTTTTGAATGATCATAAGGTATATTGATTAAATATATAGATATATTATGCATTTCTGTTTTTACTCAAGAGATAAGTAATAATAGAAATTAATACAATTAAAAAATATATGTATTATGAACACAGAGAAAATGAATGTATAAAAGAAAAGTTTATATATGTTTTGTAAAATGTTACGTATACTCTAATGATTAAATTAATACATTTTCGAACATTACCTTTTGGAATAATATGTAAATATAATTATAATAATTAGAGCAAACAGAAATAGAAATAGTAAATGATATAAATAGATCAAAAAGAGTTAATTATATATTTATAGTAATTTATAAAAAAAAAATAAATTTATTATATTCTATAAAAATAACACTTTATAACAATTAAGTTATTGAATTTATTAATATTTTGTATGATTTGATAAAAAAAGTGTTATATTATTATATGTGCAAAATATTTATGTATATATTATATATAATAAATAATTTTTAATTTTATAGTACTACACTTACTTTAATGATATTATACTATAATTAATATAATATGTTCTTGTGAAAAATAATCTATGCTGAACACATACATTAGTAAAAAAAACATAAAGACGACTTATATACATTTTAAATATTGATTTATATTAAATTTTATTACCTTATAAATTTTTATATTATTCAGTTCATTTTCATATTATATATCATGTTTAAATATTAATTACTTAAATTGTGCTAAATAATAGAATTATAAGTACAACATTATTTAAATATGATTGTTCATGCTCTAATACGTTTTTATTATTAAATAAATGTAAATATTTTATTTAGTATAGCAACCTTTAAACAGCAATTATAAGATTATATAAGTATACTATGTAGTATTTAATGATTATATTCATAAATAGATTATTTATTTATATTGGTAATGGTTATATTATAACGAATATAATACATATACTAAAATATTATATTAGGGTTTATTACTTTATATTATTACATAATATACGAAACAAATACATTTAATATGTATACATATAAGAAGCTCTATCTGTAACAAAAATATATATAAATATTACAACTGCTCAATCCATAATATGAAAAAAACAAAAGCATAAATTTTAATATTGCTTATAAATTTTATAAATTATTAACATTATCACATGTGGCAAAAAAATAATATTTTTATTATACTTTCATTATGTAAAATTCTATAATACGAGAACATTAAAAATCTTCTTTTTTAACTTTAATGAATAAATAAACATGGAAGACATTTCTGATGCGAATGAGGTATATTATACTATTTTTTATGATTTTATTTTTTATTACAAAATTTAAAAAAACGTAGATTGTGAGAACTCATCAATAATTGCTTTCATAAAAAATAAAACATAAAATTTCTTGTAAACATTATACATTTATTTTTAGTTCAATTTTCAAAATATATTTCCCCAATGTCGTTATGATATTAATGGGATAGAATATAGGGAATTGAAGAATCCATGGTATAATCTTTGCTCACCGACGTGTAATGATTTTCAAAAAAGAATAAATGTTTCTAGTGATGTTAGCTTTTATTTTCATAAGTCTTGCATTATTCTTTGTATGTATTTAAAACATATACAGATCAATAAATCAAGTTCACATGTTAAGGAAAAAGCATGTTGTAAGTATTTCTATTACAAACTAAAAGAACTAATAAAAAATTATAGGGGCACTTGCACAACAACAAAAGAATGTTATGAAAAAATGAGAATAAAAGAGAATCAAGGAAGAATGGATATACCTAATATATGTGTAAGCCACCTTTATGGTATTGATGATATTAATGATGATACATATGAAAAATTTCAATACTTACAGAAACTATATGATATTGAAGATAAATTTAACAAAACATGGGTGGATTGTCCTACCGCTAATAAAATTATTAATGAATATATAAGCTATTCAGAAAAAAATAAAAATGTGAATAATAATCAAAGTTTTAGGGAAGAGTTAAATAAAGTTAATGTACGGTACAATGCATATCGTAATAAAAAATCTAATTGTTTTCCTTCACGTAAACCTTCACATTCTTCTTTGGAATCAGGTAAAGATACAGGTGCAATTATTGGCACAGATACATATACAAAATCAGCTTCCTTTACAGATATAGAAGCATATGCAGCTATACATAGGGGAACGAGTACAGTTACAGGTGTGAGTGTTTTAACCATAACAATTTTAATGATTATTTTCTTTTTGTATAAGGTTAAAGAAAAATTTAATTTATTATATGTACACTGAATTAAATTTTATATTAAACAATTTGATATAAAACTTATATCAAATTAATAATATATTTACATGTATAATATATTGTTTCTTTATTAACAGTATACAAGTTATGGTTCATTTTTACAATCAATTGTACGAAAGCTAAGAAGGAGGATGAAGAAAAAATATGATAATTCATTAAATATAAAAGATTCATTTGATAAAACATATACAAATTTAAATAAGAGCAACTATAGAATAGCTTATTATTCAGAAGACTAGAAAAAATAAGTGCATAACCTTAAACACAGAATAAAATAATATCAGTTATTTTAAGAAAAAATATAATTATATATATATTTAGTTCATAGAAAAAATATTTATATAGGAAATCAAAAGTAAACGTAATAATAAAATCATAAATATAACTCTTGAATGTTTCTTATAATTATTAAAATATATTTAATATAAATTTTTAAATAAGGTCCCTTTACACATAATAACTATAGCTACTATAAAAGAATAAATACATTAATAATATATAATCATACATCAGTGTTTGAATAACAATAGTATCAAAAAAGTTAATTGTAGAGACATACATTTTTTATACATTACGTATTTTCATAATTTTTTTGGCATTAAAAAATTTTTATATCTCATTACATAAAAAACGAAATTTTTCATCAAACAAATGTAGATAATAAAGACAGAGTCAGTAATATAAATATGTACAAAATAGGTAACATATATTTTATAGAATATCTTAATTTTTTTGGTTACATAGTTAAATATATATATTATGTGACACATTCCATAAATTTTATTATAGTGTTAATATATGTAATTAATGAATAATATAAAATAGATGCATTATATAAATATTACAAACCCATCTGAGTATAATGATTTATATATAAACTTAATAAATTTTTATGCGTTTACATAGAATTTTTTAATATTTTTCAAATTAAAATATACAAATAAAATTCAAAAAAAAAAAACTAAACTAACCCTAATTATCATGTAACACCCTAAATTCCATAAATACTAATATAAATAGAATTTTATTATTATATTAACATATGAAATAATGCAAAATCTCTTTTGCATTTATATTATATATTTATATTATTCCATATATATGATTTTTATAATTATGATATTTAGAAAACAATATATATTTATAGAAAATATATCAGAATTAAGCGTATATTTTTAAGAAAACCTTCATTATTCATTATTATAAACATAGTCTAAACATATAATATTATAACACAAAAGCATATATAAAAATATAGTAAAAAAAATATTATTATATGGAGAATATGGATGTAAGGCAAATAATTTTACCAAAAAATAATTATCATAATAAAAAATTTAATAAATAATCTATATGAAACATGTTTTTTTTGTAATAAATAATGGAAAGTATTATATAAATATAAACTACACTTATAAGCATAAAGGTTTTTACAACATTAGTATACAATTCTTATAATTTTATTATTAAATTTTAATTAAAACAATTCAGTAATAAAAGTATATTTACATCTACAAAATGAAATACAAAATATAAACATGATGCACTATATATATGCATTAATTATAATAATTCTAATTTGTCTAAGAATTTTACCGTAGAATAAAACCTTTTCTATTATTTCAACATAATATATAATTTTTATTCTTTTATATATATAGCATTTCATAATAATTACTGCTATATATATTGAATGTAACATTTTTTTGTATAATACGTGAATAAATTTTAAATTGAACAAAAATATTTATAACCATATATGTATTAGTATTAGAATGTTCTATTTATTTGTACCATTGCGTTATGAATTTTTTTAAGGATATATATTAAATTGTTTTTTTGTTTTTATTTTTCTTAGGAATATATTTATATTTAACAATATAACTAAATTTATTAACTGCAGTTGTACCATCTTTTATAAACCACATACATCAAAAAGTAGAAGAGAAACAAGGGAAAATTTTTAAATGACTTTGTAGAAGACAACATGATTATAAGATTTGTAAATTTTACTTAATACACATGGATAATTATTAAACACGAAACCAATATTTATTAATAAAATTTATGTATTTTTTTACCTTATTATGATGTAAAACAATATATTCATGACAATATATTATAATAAATCACATGATTATTTATAAATAATATATAAATAAATGTTTATTATATTTACGAAGAATACATACGTATTTGTTCTATTTTTATCTTATTCAAACTGTATTATGGAGCAATATTAAAAAATAGGAAGGTTATATTTTCATATATAATCATTAAATAATAAAACTAAAAATGTATATTTCTTATGATAACTGATTCAATTTGTTTTAAGCAAAAAATTTGTAAATAATTATATCTATTATAAATATTTATGATATATAGATCATTAATATAAATGTAAAATTATGATATGTATGTCCTCATTAAGATAGTAATTACATGTTATTTAAAAAATATAGTAATTTATTAGTATGTATCTATTTCGACTATATTCCTGTATACATTAATAAATATATTTCATTATAATAATTAAATGTTATAATATATTTAAACAAGAAATTACATTGTACAATAAGGATAGCTAATTTTTAGTTCTTATATTATAAGAATAAGTATCCAATGGCCCCAATACATAAATAATCTAATAGAAATATAGTTATAATATTATTAATGTAAAGTTTAAACAAAACATAGATATCAATATAATATAAACATAAATAGACAGTGACAATGAAATCCTTGAATATTAATAATTCTTTTTAATTGGACATTTATTTGTATAAATATTCATATACAAAAAATGTAATCAACATAATGATGCTTTATGAAATATATATATTTGCTAAAATATGCCTTTAATGAAAAAAATGTAATTTTACAATTCCTAAGATAAACTCTATTAATTATATAAATACATATATGTATATTTGAGCATGATTTTTTATTAATTATATATCCATTATTTGATTTTAGAAATTTTGAATTGAATAATATTTGTCTAATCTATTAAGAAGGATATAATTTGTATGTTCGCTTTTTATATAATATTAACATTTCAATATTAAATGTAATAAATACAAAAAATATAATTGCTTTCTTAAATATTACAGGTAGAATGGCATTACATAATTTAAAATATAATATAAATTATGGTTATATATTCTATAAAAATATAACATTAATATAGAATCTATTTTTATAAGGCAACCCAATATACTTGATAATCTATAGAGAGATTTATAAGTACTTTTATTTTATATATTACTATTATAATAAATATACTATGGAACAAAAACACGTATAAATGATATAATGATTTTTATATATTATGCTACTTACAAAGATATGAATTTATAAGATAAGTAATAAAGAACATGCATTTTATGGCTTAAATTTTTTTTCAGTGTACAATTGTTTTTTTAAATGCATAATCTTTTATAAATGTATATATATTTAAAAAAATATAATCTCCATTAAACATATTGGGATAATTTTATTAGTGAAATCTAATAAATAGACTTTAATATTATATATAAAATATAGAACATTATATTTATATAATATAATCCATTATATCACTTGAACAAGTAGTAATAGATATTTATGAGGAATTTATAATTACTCGATTAAAAAGTGAAACATATAATATATCCATTGAATATAATCCTTCCTAATATATTTTAATAGCATATTTCACTTAAATAAATATATATAAAGTGATATGTAAATAATGTTATATAAGCAATAATTCTTCTCAAATTTTTTATAAAGATTTCAACTCCATATATAAAATAATAATAACATAATATTTTATTATATAATATTACACTGTTATAAAAATACTTAATTTATACATATAATATCACAATTTCGCACTAACAATTTTTATATTAATTACATATTGTTTAATGTATTGTAATGAATTAATTATTAAATTTACTAATTATATATTATAGATAATATTAATAAATGAAATATTATTTCTGTTAGCAATAAAATTCTTATTAATGTAATTTTAGAATATCTTTATTTAAAAAAAGTGTTATATACGTATATAAAAGAAATAAAAAAAAATTATAATTTAAAAGTTGAAAATATGAATGGATTTTTTCAGAATATATACAAAAAAATATAATATATTTTTTTTAATAAAAATTCAGGTATCATCCAATAATCACACATTATATTTTTCTTTTTATATATGTTGCCGCTTTGTTCTATATATTACAAATAATAAATTATCAATTATTATAAAAATTTAGAATTATAATATTATACTGAACTAATTTTTATATAATATTTCTTTTAATTAAATCACATAAGACATTGTATTTATCATTTTGTACAATTAGAATACTATAGAATATTTGATACTTATCTAAAATTATGCCCAATTATGTACATAATGCTAATAAAAGAAAAATTATGCCCGTATTATACATATATTTTAGAATGCACATAATATTAATTATATAACATATTTTAACTAATGTACGTATGTATTATATAAATTAATTTATTTAATTAAAATTTATCTTCTTTTATAATACAAAAATGAAGTAATAAAATGATTTTATCAATCAATGAATTAAATTAGCATTTGAAAATTTAAAACATATATTAATTTTACTTTAAACTATGAATATTTTATTTTTCATTGATTCTATATATGAATAGAGAATATCTTTTTTGTTATGAATTATAGTAATTATCACAATGCTAAATTATTTTATGTAAAACGTAGAGTAAAGTAAAATTGATTATCATTTGTATTAATAATATAACTTATATATTACATTGGAGAATATCATTAAATTTTAGTTAATTTTATATAATATTTTATGCATTTATTAGTTATGAAAGTCTTTGAATTGACGCACGGTTTATTTTTTTTTCCTATGTTTTATTTATATAAAAATTTTTTTATTTATATATAAGGATATATAAAAATTAAAACATAATTTATTATTAAACCCGTGAAAACAAAATAAAATAGTCAACAATTAATTTGTAAGTACAGAGACATAACATATAAACTAAAAATTATAATTACATATTATAATAAATAAGCATCATATTACAAAGAATAGATGATTTCATAACATTGGCTATGTTATGTATATTCAAAAGAATATATATATTTATTACAATATCCCATTCTCAATATAAATATATTAACAATAAAAAATTACATACTTCTATGTGTAAATCGTATAATATAGCTATAAATTACTTATATTAATAACAATCTCATGTATACACTTATACCATATATTAGTTAAAACAATATACACTAATATATGAGTTTTTTTTCATATTACAAGACCCATATTTAGAATTTTATGACTGCAACTTATATATATATACATAAGTATTAAATGAAATAAATATTTTTAAAAAATACATTATGAATTTTAAATCTTATAATTGAAATACGAAATACATGTGCTATATTTTCTTTAATATTGCATTAATTTAATATTAATATTGAATATAATTATAATATATCATTTCTTTCTCTTTTTAATGAATATCATGTCATGTGTTGCATCGGAAAAAACGGTACTGCTTTATGATTTTATAAGAATTAAATAATTTCTTATTATTTTCATAAAAAATTTGCATAATTCATCAGTAAATCTGCGTATATAATCTTTTTATTAATATGATTACTATTTATAACTTACATATTTTTTTCATTAGTATTACACATTGAATGATTATAGAATTTTTAAATAAGTAATCGAAGAAACTCGAAATGCTGAAGATAACAAGATAAATGTAGATGAATTCTTGGGAAATAAGAATATTAATATTGATGAAAGTGATAAAACTAATTTTTTTTGATGTATGCAAAAGAATAAATGAATATTTCAAGTATTTTTTAATAAAAGACACTTGTAATAACCTAAATGTTGCATTTATATTAACCACTGGTTAAATCAACGAGCACGTGTCAGAATTAATGAAAGCGAAGAAAGTATATTTAATTATTTTAAGGAATATATTGATTATAATAAATCAGATAATATATATAATAAATGTATATCAGAAATAAAATATATTGAAAGGAAATTTTTTTCAACAATAGGAAACCTATATGATATATATGATGCATATGAGACTGTTATTCAAGCAATTAGTTCTAATTTTGTGGATTCATTAATATGTGAAAAAATAGAGAATTTATTTGATAATTATAATAAAATAATAGAGATTGATATAATAAAAGACGATAATTTTTTTCTCAATGAATTATATAATATCAGATGCTTAATTGAAAATAATGAATGGGTATCTAAATATAACTGCCCCCCAAAGTTACCTGCACTGTCTAATGTGTATGGTTCTATAACTTACACAAAAACAAGCAATGTAGTGAAAGAAATACAACACATTTAAAAATATTCTAGGAGTTATCAAACAAATATTGCTACCCTCACTACTACTAATAATACTATTCAGAAAGCCATATTAGAAACATTATTCTTTATTATAGCCTTAGGAGCAATTATTCTGCATCTGTGTAAAGTTAATAATAATTCTATTAATATAGAATAATGATGCAATCTTATTTTTATGTTATTCATAAAAATAAAATTATTTCTTCAAATAAATATGCGTAAAAACTCACTATAATATTTTTTTAATATTAGTTTACAGACTTTGGCAAGTATTTTCGTCTTCATATCGAGAGAAAAAGGAGAAAGATGAAGTATTTAATGAACAAATCATATGAACACCAAATGTGGAAACCTGAGAATCATAACCCATTTTCTGGAGAAAAAAAGTATAATATATATATCTAGAAATAATAATAATTTTCATATGTACAAATAAGAACACTTGTTATAATCAACTATCCTCAAGCATGAAATAGTTAGACTATTAAAAGAAAATAAAAAAATACAAAGTTATGTGAATAAAATAAAAAATTATAAATGTATATATATATTTAATAATACAATATTTAAATACACATTATGAATTAATATAAGAAAATATAAATAGACGTGATGAGTAAAATGAAAAAAATCAATATTTATGATTATGTGAATGTATATATAGTACTAATTAAATATTTTGAAAAATAAACATAAAGAAAATGAGGTTATGTATATTATAATGTTTAATGTATTTTTCTCTGAGGGTATATTCTGAAAATATATAATAATATTATTATGAATATGAAAATATTGAAACACAGTGAAGCTACACAATTATAATTATTCTTCCTATGAATAACATCAAATATGATTGAAATCAAGAAGTATCAGTTGCAGAGTTAAAATAATAAAATATTACCATTAAATTTTTTATTTATTTTAATAAAAATTCAGTATAAACCATATAAAATTTAGGAAAGAATTAATACTATAATAATAATTATAATGGATAAATATATGCATAACACTATAAAATTAATTTTATTATTAATTTTAATAACATAAGTGGGTATGTAATATATAATATAAAAAAAATTTAATATTACAAGGTATCATACTTATATTCCATAAATCAATTTGTCAACTCATTTTCCTTTCCCCTTAATTATTATTATAAATGAGAATAATTACTGCTACATATAATATATTTTGACTGAATAAACTAAAATCATTAGGAAAAAATATTATTGTAATATATTCATAATTATAATACAGTTGCAAATATTAACATATATTAAAATTCATAATACTCATTGCAAATAAAAATAATAAGTAATAATTTAATCCTTAATAGATATTATTGCTTCTACATGCTATCTTAAATTCAGATTATCTTAAACACTTATACATCATAAAAAGATATCACATGAAAATTCATAAAAACCCATTATATTATCTAATAAATTGTTATGAAAATAAAAATATTGACAAAATAATATAATTATTATCCAGTTAAAAAAAAAAAAATAGCAAGAATAATATGTAAAGAAACAATAAATAATGATTGAAAAGTAATATATATATTTTAAAAGTTAAATATTATGTGGCATTAACTATTTTTTAACAATAAGCATAAACCAAGAATTACAGAACAATTAATAATTTTATTATATATTACTAAATAATATTGGTAAAATATTGTGTTCATTGTAATTATAATACAAAAGTAATAAATATTAGTTTATAACAGAAAATATTATTGCTTTATATTTATTAATATAATGTGTTTTTCAATGTTTAAAATATATTAAAAGGCCATAAGATCAGATTGTTCAACAAAAACTGATTGTGTGCACTTAATACAAATTAGGTGCACCTTAATATATGAAAACTAATAAAATATAATATATTTTAAAAAAAATATGTAATGTACAATAAAATATGAAAATAATATTAAATATAATATAGTCAAAAAAATAAAAAGTGTTAATTAATAATGCATTAACAATTACGCATATAAATCCAAATGTATAGACTTAGTATATTTCCTGTAATAATATAATATACTAAATCATTCATAAATAATTGGTATCTAACAGATATGTAAATCATATAACGTGCGAATATATGAGTTTATTAATTTTTAATAATATGATATATAGGAAGAGGCAGAAAAAGAAGTACATATAACATAATGAATAACATGAAAGGCTTTAAAACCTATATTAAACGACATAAATTAATTACAAACCACTAAATTTTATGTATCATACTTTAAACCAATTCTTTTAACCATAAAAACTGAACTAAGAATATATGACAAATATTATAATTAGACTGTTATATTTCTTCACAGTGCATTTGATAGCTTAAATGAATTATAATATTTATGTACACATATTTATATTGTGTATTAAGTGTTTATTTCTATAGGTTTTATTTTTAATTATATTTTTTTATAGGATAACTGCTTAAATATCATATCTACTGTGTTGCCTGAAACTGATATTTAAGTGGGTGAAATAAAATTAAGTATTTGAGCCACTGTTACTCATTAAATGACGATTTATCAAGCTTTCATTATCCAAATTTATTTTATTCTAAATGTTTTATGATCAAAAAATTCAATGTAAATGAAACGATGGTATTGCAAAGAAGGTCCATGTATCTTCTTTGTTGAATGAAGGGGTATAGAAAAAAACTCAGACTTCAATATTCTATAGTGGCACTCATCATAATATTAATTATTCATTGTTGATGAAGATAATTTTTTCTGTTTTTATTTTTCTAACAATAGTTTTATACTCATACCTTTTATGATATACAATGTAATATGAATACTTATGAATTATTTTATGATGTGTTTAGAGCAATTTAACTTCATAATTATTAATTTTAATTGTACAAGTTATTCAATAATTATTTTTTCTTTTTTTGTAGTTTTTCAAAATTAAACATTTATAAATAACACATATTATAGAAAGAACCCAATGAGAAAATATTTACAACAGATTTAACTATATAGAAATAAACGAGCTTCCGTATTATATTTAGAAAAAAAAGTTATGATATAATTTACATATCCAGTATAAACACAAAAATAAAATAAAGAGAAACAATGCAGACCTAACTATGTTATAATATAATTAAGAAATTTTTTTATATATATGTGAGCTACTCAAATGATAGCATAAATATATTACAACAATATAGTATTTATAATATACATATAAATGGATAGAGTGATAAGAATTTTGCATTATATATTTATATTTCAATTAATATATACAATCATTTTAAACAACAGTTGAATATGTGGTAAATACAAATGTTTAATCTATTATTTAATAAAAGAATTATTTACAAAATTCATTTTAACTAAAGTAACTATATATGAATAATAAACTATATTACATATATATATAAAATATATAAATCATATTTATCTGTATTATGTAAGCATTTTTTATTTATATATATTATTTATTAATATTTTCAACATTTAATCACATCTATGATCATTTTATTATAAAATTACTTAATTTTAGGTAATTTCCTTCAAACAAAAATTTGATCTGAGCTCTGTAGTGTATAAAATAATTTTTCTAGAAAATTCATATTTGATATATTTGAAGAATTTCCTTAAAAATTTTTATTATTCTAATGATTATAATTCTTCATTTATATTTTTATGGATTCTTCATAAAATTCATTACTATGGAGAATAATAAAGTTTTAATAAATAAAATAAAGATTGTATGTACTACATATATTCATTATATTTATGTTCAACATAGAACTATGATATTATATATAATATATAGGATAAATAAAAAAAAAAGAAAAACTATATTATAAAAAATGATAAAATAGATAAATTCTCTAAAAATTAAAAAAAATTATTAAGAATAAAAAATTAATGAATAAATTTAATATTGAAATGTCAACACAGTTTCCAAAATACTCCTATTTATGTATTCATATATACATTTACTAATTTTTACATTTCCTAGAGTATTATTTTTTCGTATTATTTAAAGATAAAAAAATTATAATGAATATGTTTTTAATTTGAATAATACAGAATACTTCAAAATTTATTTTATATATCCATGTGTAGTATTCATAATTTATCTATTCTACTACTATTTAAAATATTTTCAAATATAGTACTTAATAAATGAATTTGACATAGAGATATAATGCTATATACATAATCCTATCGTTTTATATGACAAATAAATAATGAAGGTTACCTGAACTTAGAATAAAAATTTTTTTAATAATAAAGATATATGGGATTTTATATTTTATATAGTGTTCATAATATATCAAACAATAGATTGAAAAAAAAGGTAATCTTCAATTTAGAACAAAACATTATAAGCATAAATCATGCTTATACCTTAAAAAAAACGTATTCATAAAAATTATACAATAATGTAATTATATCATTCTAAAATTATAGTATTTTTGAAAAAAAAAAAGATACAATTATAAATTATTATGTAATTTATAAGGATATTGTTAATGTTCATGTGATATTATTGTTTGATTACAATATACATATGTTTGAAGTTTATATATATTTTCGTATAAAATTTAATTTATTCGTTATCCTATTATAATTTATGTTATATAAAGCATTCTTTATTAAATCAATTGTATTTTCCTTTATCTCCACGAATTACTAATTTTTATGCGGATGCCAAAATTAAAAGAATAATGAGCAATATATTCTTATTATTATAAATTAACGTGATTCTCTATTAACCAAAAATTTTAAACATTTTTTATAAGTATTATTAATTGTAACAATAAACAAACTATTATATGAAATATAATAATGTGCTATATAGCAAATTCGCAACAATTATAAACACTTAAGGGAATCAAAATATATTTTGGTATTACATTATACACTGATTTATGAATCATATCATAATTAGGTTAGTAAGGAATTATAAATTATGAATAATTTTATATATATAAAACATATAATTATATAAAATAATTTCTATATATTCCTTAAAATTAATAAATAAAAGATTTATTAAAAAATATATACGGATATATTAATCCATATTTAATTAAAGAGAAATAAATTCATTGTTCTAAAGATTCATTTGAAAAGAACTTCACATAAAAAACTTTTAATTATATATAAATAATTAAGGAAATATATAAAACAATGTTTAACAAGATTTATTACATAAAAAGTGAAATGCGGGATAATAATTCTTATATCATTTTTCTCCTATATTTATTCAATTGAAATTAAATTATTTAAGTCAATTTATTTTATACATTCAAAATATTCCATTCGATGTATTGTGTTGGAATAATTTTATTTGATTAAATAATTAATAAAATAAAATATAAAATTAAAAAAAATTTGTATGGGTAAAATATTTCTTGAGAATACAGAATTAAAGCAATATACTGTATTTTTTATTCTAAAATTAATGTACTATATCATTTGAAATTTGTATACTCCTGTGAACATATATTTTATAGCGTAAAAAATATATATTAGAACCAAGGAGAATGTGTATGATAAGGAATAATATTGCTTATAAATACATTTATATATCTGTGGAAAATGTATTGTAATATTTCTTGAAAAAAAAAATTTTACTATAAAATAAATCTTATAATAACACATTTACAAGCTATATATATATTATTTAAATAACATTATGTATTAAATTCATATAAATGTAATAATATATTAAATCATTCATGTACATGTTGTATTGAATACATGAAAATGTTATATTGTACATTCATAAATTATTTTTTTTTTAAAAATTCTATATGTTCTTATATTCCAATAAGGAAATAATTGATATACCCAAATAATCATTAATTTTATTATTCTTTAGATCAAATTATATTTAACACTATAGAAAATGAAATGAATAAAAAAACTAACTACGTTTTTTTTAATTTAATAACGTATATTATCATTAGATAAACGTTTTTATCATTGACTTGTAAAAAAATATCTATAATATTTATATTGCAATGGGAGTTTAATTGTATATTTTAAGGGAATATATTAAGGTTGTTTTTAATAAATATTATATATATGTTTTTCTTTAGGGCCTACAAAATAATTATTACAATATATCAATTTTCATATATTATTACAATTATGTTTTAAAATTTTAAATAATTTTTGATGAAGTAATTCAATGGTATTTTAATATAATCTATGCACTAGAGTATAAAAAAAAATTTTGTTTCTTTTCAATGTATAACATTATTTATATAAATATATATATATTTGTTATTAAATCATATTATTATAGTTAAATTCCTGAAGAGTATAATACTATATAAAATGGGGAAATCTATTGTACGATCTAATTAGCATAATATAATCTTAAACATTATTATATTTTATATTATATTATATATGGATTATTTTTAAATAGGTTTAATTTAATATACTTATTTAATTTCTATTATTTATATATTTTTTTGTTCTTAGTATGAAATTGTAGTTCATTTTCCACAATGTAAAAGGGAGTTAGGAGATAAACCAAAAGAAATTACTGATTATAAAAATCCAACTTATTGGGCAAAGTTATGTATTGATAATACTCATAACCTTAAATTAAGTCATTTAAATGTTCTTAATCGTAAACCACAAGATATATGTAACCAAGTAATGGAATACTTAGCCTATGTAAATGGGAGTTCTAAGGGAGAAAGTTTAAATGAATTCGGTTGTGAATATCTTTATTATTGGATATATGTACTACTACATCATAAATATAATACAGTTATAACTGTACATGTCGATGAAGTTTACGATGAGTTACTAAATATATTTATTAAAGGTTACATAGAACATTTTGTAGGTGATATAAAAATATCCAGATGCCTTAAAGATAGGACTAAAGAAATTGATTTTCCAAAAATTAGAGCTATATATGATATATACCATAAAATAATTACCCACACTTATGGAAATGTTGAAAATTTTAAATATGTGGTAGACATCATGAATAAACACAATAAACAAATAGAATCTGTATATGATGAAGTTAGTAAATCATCAATAACAACTCCTTGCAAGAGTAGCATTACAACTCCTATTATGATTACAATTTTAGTAACACTATTAATATGCATTTTTATATTTGTTCTGCTTAAGGTAATTTATCATATTATTTTTATATATTTTTTTTATGTAATAATTTTATTTCATAGAATAAAAGAAAAAATAATATCATAATAAGAATAATGTTCTTCATGTATATTTTCCTTATGAAATAGTTCGCCAAATGCGGTTTATGGATACAACGTGCTATGGCATGGAAAAGAAATCATTGAGATAACATAGATGATGAAACAAATATATACCAAGATCCCCAAATATCTAGTAGCTTGTTAAGAGATTGCAGATATAATATATCATACAATTATCAATAATTATACAATTAAATATATAATTAAAGGAAAATAATTTACTTTAAGCATAAAAAATATTATAAAGAAATTATATGTAATATGATTCGGATAGTAATGCATAATAAAATAAATGATTAACATAATGCAATAAAAAAAGAATATGTATTACTTTTTTATTTAATATTATATAGTTTAAAAAAATTATTACTTTTAAATCCTTAATTAATTAAGGTTATAAATGATGAATAATAATACTATTAATACAACAAGAGCTTTCCTTGTCTCAAATTTCCAACTTCCAGAAAACAGTTATTTTTTACGGTACGAAAAAATATATAATTAGTAATATTTTATATTGGAAAACACCTTAATGCATATAATAATTACTAATTTTAATAATTCTGTAATTATTTGATGTAAAACGTTCTATAATATATCATGAAATTATATTATTATAAAGTTGAAAACTATATACCCTGTAATAAAATACCTATATTATAAATTTATTTTGAATCATTTCTTATTCAATAATTCATATAAAATAATTTAATGATAAGCAGATTAAATTCCTCTATATACAAACACTCATAAAAACACTATTGTAATATATCTTTACACATGCATCATGAGTTTATGTAATTATAGTAAATAAAGGTGTCAATTGTTAATCACATGTTCTGGGATTAGGTTTAAGCTTTGGCAGCATTATATTTTGTTATTATATATTTATATATTTACAAATA